CCATGTACCCTGAAGAACAGCCACAGTGCTAAAACATGAGTGCTTTTGCAGCTCTACTGGTTTAGAGACAGCTGCTTTTGTTGGATTAGATTCACAAGAAAAGCTCTAGCCAACGCCATGTAGGTCACCATGTGGGGTTCTAGCACTTGCCACACTGCAAAACCATTATTTAAGACCAAATTTTGTGAAGGAGCCAAAGGCCCTCTGTAGCATCTGGGTGTGCTGGTTTCTAGTTCATTGCTCAGAGAAAAATACATGGTTTCAAGACAGAAAATGGAAAGGGATTAATAGAAGGATTTTTGTACAATGCAGATCAATGCCCAGTCTCAGATCTGAGTCCCCTATCCGTTTATCAAAGCCATCAATGTACAGCTTTATAGTCACTGCTTTCAAAACATCCACAGGCCTGTAGACATCATGTAGAATTAGTAGAAGTACAGTATGTAGAAAAACAACACCACTAAGAATGCATATCTAATTTCACCCCAGTCAGGATAATACCAATTTCCACAGTAAAGCTTTAGTCAGCCATAACAATTAAAAGAAAAAAACCTACCTTTTCCTTCCTACCCTTTCTAGTCAGCCTTTCTCAAAGCACCTCCAAATGAATACTATTTAACTGCTAGGTTTGTGAAAGGACTTAATTGTCTTAGATTAAATTTCCAGTAAGGAAGGGTCAACACTGCAGATATATGCATTACCAGTGTAATACACTGTAATGCATACACTGCAGGACTGCTCCAGTATGGAGACTACACAAAAGCACATTCCCATTCTTGGGAGAGTTGAAGTCTAGGTCATTTTGGCAATGGACATGAAGGAAAAGCAGTGCTGCTCCTGGCTGTGCTGGAAAAATATAAGTCCAGCTTCAGTTAGTTTGGGACCATAAGAAGGACAAGACTCTCATCCAAACTGTATCACTTTGCTCTTTACACAGCTAGACATGTTATATGTTAACTAGTACAATCCAAACAAGGAATCATACCAAAACCTGGGATACACATAACTCTGACTAAATCTAGGAAAACACATAAAAAACTGACTGATGACCAACAGCCAGCACTGTCACATTCACAGAGAACTGAGGAGGCACACAGAGGAGGATATTTCCCAAGACCCATGCAAGACATTCTCATTATTATTTTTATAAAAATTTCCCATAAAACCTTACTTTAAAAGCATAAACAACAGTTCTCTTTTCCCACCCACCTGATCTGCAGTTCCTCCTCTGCCATGAAGACAACACAGAGCTCTCCCTTGTCATGCACCACCAGGAGCAGAAGCTGCTCTGCCACCAAGGTGAGGCCCTCAGAAACACCTGAGTCCATCCCTGGGATTTAAGAAGATTCAGGTATAATCAGGCTTACCTGGCCCTGCCTTCAGGATCTTTACACCTAATAATGCTGTCTACAAAAGACTGAGCTGGAAATGGCTTTCAGGTAAAGAAACTGATCAAATGCAAAGACCCAGGTTGTCCCCCATAAGCATGAAATGGCAAAATGCCCTTTTTTTTTTTTTTAACAGAGTCGTTTTCCAGGATGGATTTATATCCTGCAGTGTTCACAAGGCCTGTGTTTTCACAGCATTTGAGGCAAACAAAATGCTCTTGATGAAATACCAGCTCTTACTGTGTGCAGAATATGGCATTAAATTTATAGAGCAAAGGAAGAAGTGGTTTACTTGCCTTGAGGGGAATTGAGAAGTGACAGTAGGCACTTAACAGCAAGTTCCAATTACAGCATTTAAATATAATTGCATACTCTGTTAATCTGTGTCAGGGTGGCATAATTTTAATATGATTGTCACAGATTCTTTCTAATATTGTGAGTGATGTAAGTGAAGCTGAGCCTACAGAAAAAGTTCACTTCCAGGTCTTAATATACACTCTAATTCTGTCTGTCAGTTATGCTACAGAAGAGTTCAAATAAAGGTCTGGGGATCTAGAGGATGTAGATACCTTTATTAAAGTACTTCTATTGTAAATACATGTATGGGTCAGGAGACAGTTATCATTTGGTCTTGTTATTTTTTATGAGCCTACTACTATTAGAATAGACTCCTGTGTATAATCATTTAGATGTGTCATGGAATCTTATTTCAAATGGAAATCATGAAATGAAATAACAAAAAATTACAGCTTGACCTCTGCAAAAAGGTTTATCTAGCCACATTGTGCATTATATATAGTATTGCAGTGTATTATATATAGTATTACAGGACACAATTACAACCCAAGGATCCAAAATCACTTTGTATATCCTTTATAAACTCTGAACTTTTAATTATATAATGTAAATTTAACTTCAGAAAGACTGAATATTGATGTCTAGTAAGTAAACTTCAAAACTTAAAATAGGCATTACTCTTCTGGCAATGGTAAAAATGTGTCAGACTGTTTCTTCTGGTGTAAAAGCCACATGAAGGTGTTTCCTGCCTCCTTGCTCCCCCACATCTAGGTCTGCATTGGGATTTACTGCCTCCACAATTGTGCTTTAGGAACTGATTGCATAGCTGAACTTCAAACTTCATCAGAATTTATACAAGTTGAAAAATCTCTGCTTTTAAAGGTGCTTTTTTTTTTTGTCCAACCAGCTCACTAATCTGGTTTACAAAGCACAGTTGCATCAACAAATGTATTGCAGCTCAGGGGCTGAAATCAACCACAGCAGTAAAGGGAGAAAAAATGTTTATAACAAGCTTCCCAAGGTATTTTCTACTGCTGGAGAGTATTTAAAACATCTCTGTACAGGCACAAACTTCTGGTCCTACACCTTACCAAATGCTATACATGTTCTGGAGGCAGTACACGTAAACAGAATTTATAAAATTGCAGCCACCTCCTTGGAAGAATCCATTTGTATTGTAGTGGTGATCATGATCAACCAACAGAACAGGAAGAAAGCTCCATGAAACAGAAAGCAGAGAGTGGAATTACAAGGCAATAATTATTAAAACTTCCTTATCTTTGTGCAAATCACCTCTAGATCCTTCAACAAGTTTACATCTCATATTAAAATATCACTGCCACCAACAAAACTATCCCCGAGCACCATGCTGGCACTTGGGTTGCTGTAATCGTGCAGGAAGGATGCCACTTAGTGAATCACTGGATTTTCCTTGGCGGTTTCCCATCCAACACTACAGGGCTTGGCTGTGTTTAACTCTCAAGATCAGGCAGGATCTCAGCCAACATTGCATGGCCACATATTTTCTTAACCCTCCAACCAGCTGCCATGCTAAAAACACAAGTTGAAAATGCCCAGCTACATAATTCCTTAAATTTAGGATGGCATCTTCTAACATTTTATTGCCTCAGTCTCTACCCAGTTACCTTTATTTATCTGTCACTCTATTTTCTCTGTGGTCATTTCTGGCAGCAGGATTATTTTTAAACAGATTTTCTTTCATGGAAAGAACAAAATAATATAAAAATACGGAGTTTCTCCTAAAATGACCTTTGCTGAAACAATGGCTATCCTGGGGGCGTATGAGAAAAGACCCAAAAAAGAGATGTGCATTTTGGAGATCAGTGAAGCAAGTGAGTGATTGTCCTACGAGCCCTTGGACAACACTGCACAGAGCTACCATATGCTTCCTAGTGCTCCCCTAACTGCCAGCTGTCTCCACCTTACTCCTTCCAAATGGCAGAGGGGGCAGCAGAATTGCCAAAATTGATGCTTTGACCTGCAGTTACAGGCAAAGAACAGGCTTGGGGTCGGTTTGATAAGAGCATAAGCTTCATGTAAGTAGAGCAAGGACAAAGGAAGGTCATATTGTTCCACTGCTGTCACGCGAGGGCAACTGAGGGAAAATAACAATACAGAGGCATTTCTGCTAAACTAGGGGGGGATGAAAACAAAGCCCAGATTCTGAGCAGCATTTTACATCAATTTTTCCCTTCATTTGGAGAAGAGGCAAATGTTATACAAAGTGCCAAGCAACAGAAAATTGGATCCACTGCCCTTTGAATTAATGTGATCTGAATGCAGATAAGCCTAAAACAAATGACTTGTCAAAAAATGTGCAGGCTGGGGAATCTATTACAATCACCATATCATAATCTCCTTTCTCAGAATGACCCAATTTGCTTTCTTCTGTCTCTTTCTATCCTCCCTTCCACCATTTCTGGCCACATTGATGGAGAACCATCACAATAAGTCAGTTTGGGCTCTACCACACTGAGCCTTGTTTCTAAAGATTGAATCCCCAGAATGGTTTGAGGTAGAAGAGACCTTAAAGATCATCCAGTTCCAACCCTGCTACCAAGGGCAGGGAATCTAGGCACTAGATGAGGTTGCTCCAAGCCCCATCTAACCTGGCCTTGGACACTTCCAGGGATGGGGCAGCCACAGCTTCTCTGGGCAACAGGAGAGTTGAGGGAGTGGGCCCCAGCACACAGAAAAATAATTTTAATGATTATTTTTTCTAATGCATTGTTATGGTGGTGTATCTGGTGATTTTTTACTATGCCAGATGGAATCCTAAAGCTTCCTTCTTATGAAACATTAAATTGGACAGGTTGTGACTGCCTGATTTGAGTTACTCTCTAAGGTATGCATCTCATGGGAGATTTAACGAATAAAAGCTTTTAATAATGAAACACATAATAGGCAGGTGTGAGGTAGAATGTAGGAACACATCCTTATCTCAGTCATAAAAGGAAAGCTTGGAAGAAAGGCTAATAAACTGTTAAAAGCCTTTAATTAAGTGTGACCCTAATAAATTGTGTGCTGCTTGGATGTGTGAACTTAAGAGATCAAAAAAGCCTCAAAAACTCATAGGAATCTTGCCTCAGGGCATCTGGAGACACTGAACATGCCACAGGTTCTAGGAAAGACAAAAGACAGTGCAATCACTTTGTCAGTCTTCATTGCCTCAATACCTTCCTGAGGGTTTCATGAGCTGCAGAACAAAGAATGACAGGATTCAGGTGCTACAGCCAGGCTGTTGACCAACCAGGCAAAACCAGACAGGAAAATATGAAAAAATGCTCAATTTATTTTAACTATCTTTCATACAGAAGCAAAACCTGTAGAATGAAGCTCCTGAGGGCATTGATTTTTAGGGGGCACATGTTATATCGCTGCATTGTGGCCTTTAATATTTTGTCAACATATCCTATGGACAGCTAAGCTTCTCCAGGTTGGGTAAAAATCAGTATTTAGAAGAGCTGACCCACTGAATGAACTATGTATATTTTAAGGAAGCATTTATCACAAAGCTGACAGTATTAGATCTCAGAGAATCCTCAGAGAATTGCTCCTACCGAGCATTCCAAAAACCTCAGTTTGACCCTGCATCCGAAGGCTTATACTAAGACATAAATTCACAGAGAAGCCCAGGCTTCATTAGCTCTAATTCTCATGGAATAGGTTGTTTCAAGTCTCTGCTCTTGAGGCTTCCCAAGGCAGTTCTTGCTGGATCCCACAAACTTCAAGGGGATGTTCAGCAGTCATAGATCATAGTGGCACCAGGTGAATGTCTTCAGCCCTGGAAGACAACCAGGAGTGAAGTATATTCAGCTGGATTGCTGAACTGACTTTTCTTCAAACAGGAATTTTCTCCCCTCTAGACTTTCTTTGCATTGCCAGGTTGAACTGCCTTTGTGCTTGGTGATTTGCTCTTGTAACCTCCAGAATGCTCAGTGCTTCCAAGAGCTCCTGGGTACAGAACGAAAGAAACAGCAAATCAAGCTCAAGTAAACGAGATGGTGCTGCCTGTGCATGTTCTGAACACAGACACACAGAAGCTCATTATTGAACCTCCCTCTCACATCCATATGTTGTTGCATTTCCCTAATGATTCTTCCACTGTGGCAGTGTCTCCTCCTGAACAGGAGATGCACAACAGCTGGTGAAACAGGACAAAATCAGGTGAGAGCAGCCATTAGAGGAGTTAACTGGTGACGCCTGGACACCACTAGGAGACATTTTCCATGTCACTGTGCATTCAGCATGGAATCTGTGTCATCACATGGTGCAGCAGTCTTGGCAAATCTGTTCCAAAGCTGAGTCTGCTGGCACTTTGCAACTACCATCATCCCTGCTGTCGTTGTTCTTTGGCTGCCTCACTGCAAATGGTGTTCTCCTATCACCTCTGCTGCCACCCAGACAGACAGACAGGGCTCAGTTTAGTTCCAGCCTACCTACGTAGTCTGTCACCAGGCTGAATGGGAATACTCTGGGCTCCTTTTAGATGTTATTTGTCCATAAGAGACAGCCTGAAAAGCAAGGATATAACTATTTTCTGCTTTTATCCAGGAATAGGGGAGGAATTCCTGATTTTCCACAGGCATAAATGTATTCAAGTCTGCTCAGTTCAGATCTTATTTTTTCAGTGAAGATCATGCAACAGATAAAGAGTCCATGAACTTCAGGCATTACACCTGAATTCTTTAAAGGGACAGCAGACATTGCTGGGAAATGGAGTTTGGTTTATGTGTAAATCAGCAGGAGTGAGTAATAAACTATGTTGGTATTGAAGTAATTTGGTATCTGTCAGAGGCAGTTCCTTCTACATTAAACTCTTCACCGTGGATTTGCAGTTATAAAAATGGAAAGGCATGAGGACAGAGCAGCTCCTGGCTCATTTGTCAAATGTTGGGAACATATTATGCTGTGCTGGACAAACTTGTTTTTCCCTCTGTGCAGATCCTTTTCTGCATTTCACCCCGTTCATATCTTCAAACAAACTATTCATTATTTTACAGTTTTTGAGGAATTTTTCAAAAGAAAAAAGAGGAATAGAAAGTAGAATATTACTTATCCTACAGAAAGTAGGATATTACTTATCATTCCATTCTCCTGCTCTTATTTACTGTGGAGAGAACATGTTTGTTGTTCACTGACCCCTCTGGATTGCAAGAACAAATGTTAAAGGGATTTGCTCTACATGCACCCTATGGGAGTCCTGCTCAGTGTGAATAATTCCCTGTGCTAGCACATAATTAAACACACCTTGAGGATTTTTCCTTGTTTTTGTTTTGTTTTGTGTTGTTGTTTTTTCCCCCTGAATCTGCAGCCAAAATCTTTGAGTAAATTTTATGGAGGTTGAATTCCCATCTTAGAAAAAAGCTGGCTTAAACATTCTGGGGGCTGGCAGCAATGGGCCACTTCATACAGCCAGCACATTGACACAGGTCTACAAACTTTTAGGAAAAAGGAAAACTTGAAAGTTGGGTTCATTATCCACAGGCCACATTATTGTGCTAGGACCAGCAGAGCAGCAACTGCTCACCCAAGTATCTTCAGAGAAATGCTGGCTTGCAACATCTTTTCTTTCTTCTGCCAGCTCCTGAATAAAAGGAAACAATATCTGTACAACCTCTACTTCTTTCAGGAAATTCCCTGTCTCTGAAAGATTTCCTTAGTTCTTTCACTAAACTGCTATTAAATAGCATGATTTTATTTACAAAACTACAAAATGTTCAATCTTTTGATGTAGAAAATGAAATTCAAGTCTTTAAATGTTCTTATTATTTGAATGGATTCTGTGCTCAGCTTTCTCTATTCTGTCCTGTACAACTGAACAAACTTTCAGTTTACTTTTTTCTGACTTTGATATATTTTTATGCCACTTACCTGTGTTTTACTCCCTTCTTGTGCCTAGCTTCTGTATTGAGAGAGCGAACCTGTGACATTTAGGGATAATGCAATTTATTATTTCTTTTTTATATCTGGCCCACAGCAGAGGAACCAGAGGGACAAAGTTCTTTTTTTCTACTTGTCCCACATAAACCAGATACACAAAATATATAGACATGCATAAGCCTCTCTAAACATTACAAAACCTCTGCTGGTGTTGGCTAACAGACCCCCCTCCAGCATTTTCTTTTCATGCAACCAGAAGACTTCCTTGATACCAAAACCAAGTAATTTTCATCTAGCGTGTTTTGAACTAAATTAATCAACATGATGTGACTATCTATTTTAAAGTCTACAGGAGGATATCTAGAACAGTGCAGTACGACTTGGAGCAATTTTTACTCTAAACTTTACCAGACATTGTCTGCTTTAGTTTATCTTTATGGCTGGTTCCTTAGCTTCTGGCAAGGCAAGTATTTAAAAAATGAACATATGTTGCATAAAATGACAATGCATGTAAATTAATTATTTGACTCTGACATACATTTCTAGCGTAGCCTCTTCCTGCAGAGCAATCTCTATCGCTCGTGAATCTGATCATGTTCTGTGAAGTCTGTGAGGCCAGTCTGTTAAAATGCAGCTGTATCTCACAAGTCATTCATTACCTGTAAAAGCAGGTGAGCATCCTATATGAAGCAAAGATGAACTTTCAAATAATTGATCTAATGAGGATGGGGAATATTGTAGTAATTACTGCTTTGGGGATAGCTGTTAGGGTGGATAAGCTCCTTCTGTGGATTACAGAATGTCTGATTTCTGGATTTGAGTTACTTACTCAAAGTGCAGGTGCTATTTACTCATCTGCCTTGTAGATGAGTTGTAGATATTTTATTTTTTTTACGTAATGTCAAGTAAATACAAAGCATTGTGGTTAATAGCTTGAAGAGTGCTAATAATAATCATGCTTTTTGCTTACTACTCCCCAAATAACCTTCCTGACTGGATTTTTTGTCTTAAAAACTGAAACTGAATGAGAGAAAATAGAATCAGAACTGCCTGAAATGTCAAATCTCAGGAGCACAGCTTGGAGTGCAGACAGATGGACCTAGCAAAAAGCAACTGCATATAAAAGTGCTATAATCCGTTGGAGCAGCATGTTAGTCGAGAACAATCAGATTCAAAATTGTTCCTCTGAAATTTTCTCGCTGGCAACCAAACATTGTGACTTTTGTCATCGTGCTACGAGGATGAATCAGATGGGTGACAAGAGCCAGGGACTGGAGAGAAAGCAGCAGATGTGAAGACAGAAAAGTGAAGCCAGCACAAAATGCCACTATCGCTTTCAAGGGGAGGTAGTGATTATGGCATTAATCAACATTCCATAATCAATGGCAAAAACCCCGAGGAGTGCCAATATCTATTCATCTTTATTTATGCATATGCCAATCCTTCTTTATAATGTTGTCCCTGGGAGTAGTTTCTAGGTTATAAAGATTGTTGCCATGAAAAGAGATAATTGTAGTTCATGACCTGGAGGCCAAGGTAGTGCATAATGACGCTATTGTGCTCTGGGATGTACAGGGAGCTCTAGAATGAGGGTGGAATGTAACCAAATACGGCATTCCAGCGGAAAGTCAACAATTTAAACAGAACATTTTAAACAGAAAATCCTAGCTATGCTATTAGAAATATGCTTCTGCCAGGGTGTAATTACATAAAAAACCGAATTATATCACAAAAGTGATAGCATTCCTGACATCAACAGCCAAAAAAGTACTTTACCCCAGGAACTCACCAGACCTGTGAACAATGGGAAGTTGTGTTGGAGGGCTGTTAGCCTGGGATGGAATCCTACCTTTGAGTGCACAATGCTTAACTCCTTCCTTGCCCCTTGAGCAATGCTTTCTGTCTTGCTCACCCCATAATTACATCAAATATCTGCCATATTTGAGACTGAGAACTATTTCCCTGTATAGTACTAAAATGTCCTAGTTATAAGCCTTAAAATTACCTAAGAAAGTGTCTGGCTTAGCAACCTATAAGCCTGCTATTTCCAGAAGGCTTCAGCTCAGCACACCGGATAAGGAGGCCTCAGGGATGCTTTGCTGGTTTTGGCAAGGACTGTACTAAAATCCTGAAGCAATTCTGACTTCTCCTCTTTACCGGTTGCAATCTCATTTTCTATTTTCAGCATAATTTTAGTAGAACACCAGAGTGCCTTTTTAATGCTCAGACATACAGATAATAAGTTGCATCACACCAAGTTGGAGGATGACATGATTTTTGGAAAGACTTGTGTGTTAAAAGTTTATGAGAAGTTTGATTTAAAACTATAGCCTACACCATGTTCCCTAGGGAAAAAGACAAGGCTCCTTTAAAGCTTGGAAATGATGCTCCATTTGCATTGCATGGATCTGAATATACTGGATTAAGTTGCTTTATGTGATGTTATGTGACTGAACGTAACCAAGTATAACCATATGGTCCATAAAGTAACTTGTGAAATAGACTTGCCTTACCCTGGGAATAGATGTTGCTCATTTACGATCCCCAAAATATTCTGTGTCTGAATTGCTTGCAAGTAGTACGAGGGAGCTGGGCTGTGTTTTGAGGCTGGTGCAGCAGCCAGACAGAATCCTGACACCAGCTCAGCTATAAAATGTACTTGTAGGTCAAAGCTACAGAACAATCTGTATCGTGCTGGTTGCTGTCGTTAGCGTTTCCCAGTGCAGATCTGTTCAATATATAAAAATGCTAAATTACTGATTCTGGTTATGTTATACTGAAGGCTGTAAAGACTATCACATTATTCTGGTTAGTTCTCCAAGGAAAAGAATAATCTTGGAATACAATTCTCCTGCACATCTACCTTAAGGATAAAATAATCTGTTTGAAGTGATCCCAATTTATTCCTCTATAGCTTTAGTCCCTGTCTGCTATGACAGGTAATTTTTTCCCATTCTTTTGGTGTGCAGTTTGATCACATAAAGGTACATAAATGCTTCTCAAATATTTCAAATACACACTTTTTCTGGTTTGCCTTATGTAATAATGATTTGCAAATCCTAGGAACTTTCCTGACAGACCTTGAAAGACTCTATTTGCATTTCCAAGTTGGTCACTTATATCAGCCCTTGGATGTTATGGATGGTACTAAGATGGACCATACTTACAAAGTTAAGACTCAGATCACAGTTACTTCAATATCCTGGATTAATCTGAATTCAGAGCCTGGGACTAGGCTGTGACAAAAAGAGTACAGAATTTAAATGAGAGTTCCCCAGGAACTCTCTTTATGCTTCAATCCAGAATTTTTGTCCAAACCTTTTGCTACATTTTTTTCACTTCAAAGAATGGCTGGGCATAGCTGAATCCTAAAAACCTGTTCCTGTGAGAACAGACTTAGAGCACACTGAGCAGTGGACACTCAGCTGACTTTCTTTCTTTGTTCTTCATCATCAATAACACTCATGAAATTTATATTTTAAAGTAAATAAAAGGAGAAAGAAGAAAGAATAAATAATGTGATCAGTAGATTAATCTAATAATCTTATGGTAATACTGGCAATAATCTTTGTTGTTTTAAAGCACAATGAACAGTGCTTTCTGATTAAAACTGGATGGAAAAAATGCATGCTCTGCTTCTTAAATATCATAATGAAAATAGTTTTACCAACAGATACATTCTTTCCCAGTCACCTATGAATTGAGTAATACTAGATAAAAACCAATGGCTAGGTAAGTAAATCAAAAGGAGACACTTCTGATGAATATCCACAGGCAGTTCTGTATATTACATGTTGCAAACTTATAATTAAAAAGTGAAGTCTAAATTCAAATATTGCATCAACTACCTGTTGACTTTATTAGATCAGTACTTCTTTATTACCTCTTAGATTTTTTGGGAGGCATCTATAAGTATCTAAACCCCTGCTAAGAATATAAATCTGGAGGTGATGAATTCTATTTCATTACAGAGATTTATGCCTTTAACAAGATAAGAGAATATTTGATATTAATAATAAAGATCTTCACAAATTTCCTAGGGAATTGCTTGACTATATCATCCTGCACAGTTACTCTATTCATACCAATTTCATGTGCTTTTTGAAGACTGATAATTCTTTTTTTTTTCTATTTTGTTAAATAAGAGATTTCAGAAGTCATAGAACATCTCTCTCTGTGCACGTGTGTCTGCATGTGGATGTGCATATACATGCAGGGAGGTTTCTCCCCAACCAATCCACACACAACTCTGTTTTCTCAATTTTTTTTTCCCAGAGTGTTTCTGCAGATGTCTGTGGTAGAGATATCAAGCCCCTACTCCTGAATCCTGGATGAAAAAAAGATACAGATATTGGCTTCCCCACTGCTCAAGGAACTTATTTTTGAGACTTATTTCACCTCCAGAAGTAGCTGATTCATTCCTAAAACTATGCACAAAAGCTCTGGGTGCTATGTCCTTTTCACAGTATTTCCATTGTCCGTCAGTTTCTTCCCAAAATGTCATTTAAGCAGGTGGCCAGAAAAGAAAGCAAACAAACTCATGAGCAACTAAAAGAAAACTTGGTCTCATTATTTCATATCTAAAAGTCTAAAACTAAGACGCACTAAATATAGGAAAAAAAATGGAAATAAAGTTTTTTTGACCTTTGTCCTTTGGACACCAGCGATAAGCATGGCAAAAAGGGAATGAAGCCACACCAAGCATGTCCAAATTCTTCATTTCCAAGTCTTCTGTTTCCTTCTGAGAAAGGGAGTAACTTCTGCATATCCCATTATTAAGCTGCAGCTAACAAAAATAGTGTCTCCTTTTTGTTACGCTTTACAGCAGACCAAGGACGTGCAAATCATGAGACTATAGATTTATTTTACCTTATTTCATTAAATATGTATCTGTGAGGGAAACAGGCATAGCCAGGATTATTCCCTTAGAACAATTTCATAAATTGCACATGTTCTGCACAGACTTTTAGGCACAGACTAAACATCCATCACTTCTTCCTTAGATATTTTCCTCAGGTCCTTAATTTTACTTTTCTCTCCCCTCTGGGTTATAAAAAGTCAAGCCATTTCCTCCATAAAATAATCATCTTCCTAAAATAAGAAAATAGATGCTTCTGACAACTGTATATCATTATGGTATTCAAGCTACATAAAATAATCCCAACATCTGTTTCTCTGTCAGTTTTCTAAACCCAAACCTACTAATAATATGCTAGATGGATGATAAAATCAACTATCACGCTATCTGGATCCTCCTGATTAAATAAATGCAATGTGGATGTGTGGCAGCTTTTGTGACAACACAAAACTGTATGGAAAAAAATAGATGCAAAAAGAATCACGAAAAAGAAAAAAAAAAAAAAAAAAGGAGCATATGCCACTGATAAGCAAACATCAAAAGCAAACTCCAGAAAAATAATTTTAAGATCTGTCATTTATTAGAACAAATTTGACTCATTCTGTTTGTACAGTTATATCACTTGCAAGATGGTTTCTTGCAGGTTTTGAAATCATGGCTGACCAGTGACAATTTTATCTTTTTGTCTGTATGTCTAATGTTCAGAAAGATGTTCTATTGACTGACCTTAACTTTTCACCCGGTACTGCCATCGTGGGATTGCTTCTTATCAGTGGGAATCATTTCAGTGTTAGGAATTCT